AGGCAGTCTCTGTCCCTAAAAGCAATTGACTGTATAACTCTCGATCTGACCACCAAGCTCCCATCTTTTTTCTTTGGAGACAAAAAAGTTTTTTTTTTGAAGAGTTTTCTGGAGCTTCCTCAGGTCCCATCTCAAACCCTTCTCCATCTTTCCCTTCTTTTATTTCGACAATAAAAATTTGAAATGCATGCTACTTTGTATGCATACACGTATCTGCATTTCGTAGCGTTTGTGCGAGCTGAGACCCGACGGCATTTGTTGACGCCTTGTTGAATTTTTGAAGCTTTTTTCGTTCATGGGTTTTCCTGATTTTCTCGTGGGTCTGTTTGTTTCCCGAGAAAATGGAAATGTGGGTGGATTTTTGGGTGTTTCTGCTGATCGATCGATAACTTCTGGAAATCTCGCAGCTTTACTTCTCGGGTTTGTGAGTTCTGTTTGTTTCCTGAGAAAATGTGGCTGTTGCTGCGGAGGACATCCGTAGAAAATTTCTTCTTTCCTGTTCTTTTTTTGTGTGTGGATAATGTATATATTTTTTTCGGGGACTCAAGAAAGGCAGGAAGGGTAAATAGATCGTCGAATATTTATTTTTCCTAATATTGTGTTTGCATTTTAGAAAATATATTCTGAAGATTTTGTGTTTTTACGTTGGTACCAAATTCTGCACAGAGTATATATCGCTGTGAATTTGCTTTAACAAATTTTCTCTTTCGTTTCTAATGGAACATATTTCTCCCGTGGCGTCGAGATTTTGTCTGCATTACTGTTTGGCGTTTTCAATAAGGAAATCAAATAATATCTGATTCACTTTCGAATCGTAAGAAGTTTGAAAAAGTCTGAAACTTGGAACTGGAAGGTGTCTTCTTTTGATACTTTTGAATTCGATGGCCCAATTTTCCTGGAAAATTTCACATCGCGACGATCATGTGGTGAATTCCTGCCTTGAGCCATGAGAACTCATCGTTCATATATACATACGCAGCTCCTGTCTGAGTTTCAGAGGATACCAATCGTCTTTTTGCGTCTTGTTTTCTTTTCATGGCTTCAGACTCACATGAAATGATTCCACATTACTTAGGATGTTTGATTCGTGTTGCGGTCTCTCTCTCTTTTGCAGTTATGTCGCATGAGATGGTTCTGCTGTTGTCTCTGTCGCAAGCTTTCTTTACTTTCTTTGATCTTCGTTTCCCCTTGATTTCAATTTCACAGATCGGAAAATGAGGCGGTGTTAAGATCTTATGCTTCAGGGTTTGATCTTATCCGGGGATTTCGATCATGGGGAAGGAGAATGCTGGATCTGGCAATGCAGTTGTGCTCCATGGCCGCCCTTTTACGCGTGCCTTTGCATCTACTTTGCGTTCTTCGGGACAGATAAAACATTCAGAAGTGGCTATAACACAGAATCAGCAATGGGCGCCGAGAGCTAACATAAAAAGAACAGCCTTAGAGGAGAAGAAAGCCAATGGATCTAAGAAGCGTGCCATTCTAAGGGATGCCACCAATTTTAGCTGCAGGAATTCATACAAAAGCTGCCTTAATGTTTCCAAAGTTCAGGTTCTTAAGTAGACAATCCTTCTTAAGATGTCAGCTTTCAGTGATTATATGTAATAATACTCTCATGAGCCATACTTGTGTTTTTCCGTACAGGCAAAGACCATCCATCAGATCCAGAAAGGACGGGCGAGTTCTTGTGTTACTTCACAAGTATCTGATCTTCAACCCGGGACAGAAGCAACAGCTGCTGAGTCTGGACTGAGTAAAGCATCAAATACATCAAGAAACCCGCGTCTTTATTCAGGAACGAGCTTACTCACAAGTGACAGAGCTGCTAACTGTGATGAGAAGCCGAATTCTAGATTGTCTCCACGGCCTCCCGAAAAATCAGCTTCTAAATGTGAATCCAAAGATCAATAACTCTCGGGTTTTCAGTTACCGTTGTATGAAGTTATGTTAGTGACTGAAGTGTATCATTCATGTTGGTTTTGTATATGTTTACAGTGGAGAAAAGTGATACCGTCGGGAGTTTAGCAGAACTGGATAATCCAAAATTCATAGACATTGACTCGGATCAAAAGGATCCTCTACTCTGCAGCCTTTATGCGCCTGAAATTTACCACAACCTTCGAGTTGCAGAGGTGATCAATGGATTTTGATATTGTTCTGTGTACTGCCATGGATGCATCACTTCAAAGCACTGAAAGTTTGTACCTTTCTTTCAACAGCTAAAGCGTAGACCTTTTCCTGATTTTATGGAGAGAATACAGAAGGATATCACTCAAACCATGCGGGGAATTCTAGTTGATTGGCTCGTGGAGGTTTGTTACTTTGTGTTGCCTCTGATTCAAACTTTCATGCCGTGTGTTTTTCGGTGTTGCTGTTGTATTAACATTACTACTTTGTTCTGATTTCAATTTCAGGTCTCTGAGGAATACACACTGGTGCCCGACACCTTGTACCTCACGGTGTATCTCATAGACTGGTTCTTGCATGGAAACTACCTCAAAAGGCAACGGCTTCAACTGCTTGGCATCACTTGCATGCTGATTGCTTCGTGAGTTTCTTCAGCAATTTCAGTAACTTGTCTTGTCCTAAAGAACAGTACTGGTTTGTGAATCAAGGACAAGCAAGAACCCTAAGAGTTTTCTGCAATTCTTGAAATGTGTAAAGGAAGTATGAAGAAGTATGTGCACCGCGCATTGAGGAGTTCTGCTTCATCACGGATAACACTTACGCGAGAAATCAGGTACTGGAAATGGAGAACGAAGTACTCAAGTATTTTGGCTTTCAAATACACACTCCCACCTCAAAAACATTCCTCAGGTATCTCGGAAACAGACTTTATACCAGCAGAACTACAACCCTGACTCTGAATCCTTTTACTGTCATGTACTTTGACGTTTCTTGATTTCGTATCCTTAATCTTGCAGGAGATTTCTTCGAGCGGCGCAAGAATCTCACCTGGTGAATGCCTTTTTTTTTTTCCTTTCATGCTTTCAATGCATCTGTTCATGCATGTTTAGTGCATAGATCAAGACTTGACAGGTATTTGATTGCTGATCCGCAGAACTGGAGTCTCGAACTGGAGTTTCTGGCCAATTATCTGACGGAATTGACGTTAATAGACTATGGTTTTCTCAAGTTTCTTCCTTCTCTTATCGCCGCTTCTGCTGTTTTTCTCGCCAAGTGGACATTGGATCAATCATGCCACCCTTGGGTCTGCTCTATTCTCTCCTTTTTGATCATGATTCAGGACACAGTTCTGTTCCAAGAATCTTGGATCATCTCGGTTTTGTCTTCATGTTGCAGAATCCGACTCTAGAGCATTACACAACGTATAGAGCATCTGATCTGAAAACATCGGTTTTCGCCTTGCAAGAGTTGCAGCTCAACACCAGAGCATGCCCCTTGAACGCTATTCGCTTCAAGTATAGGCAAGAGAAGGTAACCACAATGAAAACCCATCTCAATCTGTTTTCTTTTAACCGAACGAATACCGAATTATCAGCAGAATGTTCGGTTAATCCCGGTTTATGGATCTTACAATGTATATAATCATAACACTTTCTTACATCTGCAGTTCAAGTTCGTGGCTGCTCTGTCTTCTCCGAAACTGCTTGACACGTTATTCTAATGGCCTAAACCGGGCGGTTCATCTCTTGATCCACAACTTTTTGGTCTTTTTTTCACATTGATCGTTTAATCAAAGTAGTATAAAATTTATATTTGTCCATAAAACTGGTCCCACGTTCCAACTCGTCCCCACATTAAATCCGGTCTATTGTGGGTTGGTTTGGTTCTCTTGAATTTAGAACGTTAGATCGGTTTGGTTCTTCAGAACTCGGTTTACTAACCGGTAGCACCAGATTAGTTGTTTGTTTGCATTTCTCGTATGTACATTTTTTTTGCCTTAATCCGGACAGTTATATTGCCACATAATGTAACAGTTTGGATTTTTTTTAGAATACTGTAATTTCTATTTCAATATTTTCAGAAATATATGTGAAGTTTATTGGTATTTAAAAAATATGCAAAATTTATAACTATATCGTATTTTACCTAAATTATCTAAATACGTCGGCTATTTCATATGATGCCTGAAGAACATTTATGCTTGAATTTCGGGAACTTTTTTTTCTTTTTTTATCAATAATTTCCGGAATCCGCTATAGGTTTAATTTTTGTCTTTTTTTCGTGACATCTTTTTTGCTTTGTCTATCAAAATATTTGGATATATTTGTATTTAAATCTCTGCAAATCCAAACAAACCGATGAAAACAACCCAAATTCCATAATTAATTACACGTTATCCTGAAGACAAATATTACCCACAAAAATTAAAATAAAAAATAAAAATCTTCCGATTTTGTTTTGGTTTTGTTTTCTCGTCATCGCTGATGTGTCGCTCTGCTTGAGAGAGAATGGCGGCAGCAACTTCGAGCGCATCGCCATGGCAGGCGACTCTTTGGCATTATAGTAACAGTTTTTATCAGAAAGATGATCCCTTTCCTTGTTATTATAATCTTTATTTTAATAATAATAACAACAATTCCAAAAGGCGTTTCCTTTCCTCTAACATTGACAACCATGTTGGTGTTTATTCTCCTTCTTCTTCCTCGAAGCTTTTGCCGATTCATGCCCATTTCTCGTCCTCGGGTAAACCAATCTTTTTTTCTTGGACCTTTTTTTGTTTGTAAATTGTGGGTTTTCTTCTGATAGAATTTGGTCTTTGATGTTTGTCATTTTCTTGGCGTCTTCTCATCATGTTTCTCTGAGGAATCTGAATGGATGTTGAGTTACCAGAAAAAAGAAATGGAATCAAGGGGACAAGTAGCTGTGAGATTTGTTGAGAGTTGCTAATACGCTGAAATACCCGCATTTCGAGCTAGGTTTCATTACGTGTGTTTGATAGGCCATGGCGGGTTTATGTGCGAAGGATTTGGAAGATGTGAGAAGAGAAATAAAGGATTGTCTCTGCAATTTGTTTTGAGAAGTCTCCATTAGAGTCTGTTTTGGAATTGTGTTCGTTTGTCTAAGACTCTATTTCTTCTAGAGGGTTTAGTTTTGATGAACGTTTAGGGTTATCGTTAGGTCGTGGCATATAAACAGTCTGCTACTTTGTCTTGGGGGATCATGCAGAATTTTGAGAAAGGGTTTACGGTTGTATGGGGTAGAGAGTTGGGATCCTCTATCAAATCAAGATCATCCAAGCTGTTCTTCTCTTCTAGTAATCATTAGAGGGTTGAGTCCTTCCAATTGATTCGTAGAGGAAGGAGTACAGATTCTGATACGAGTTCTTATCAGTTTTATCTTAGTTTTGGTCACAATCTTTCTGCGGCAGTTAGTTTGGCTGATCGATTTGGCTTCAGGAATGCAAAATGAATTCAGTCATAATGTTGAAAGGCATTGCCTTTCCTGCAGAGTATCCTTAATGGTTCTTCTGGAAAGTTGGAATTTTTCAACCAAGTCTCTGTTGTTGAGCGTGTGAATTGGCAATGGCCTTAGTTCAACTGTCATGTAAAACATTCTGGTTCCTGTAGTGGAGATTGGTCTGAATATGGAGACACTTCTTGTGGGTTTTCTGTTGTTTCTTTTGCAGGGTGTGGATGTTCTTGGATGCAAGAGAATTCAATGGTTAATGTATCAGCAACTGGTAATGATAGATTGATGCAATGCTTGGCATTACCAACCAGGGCGGTGGATGTTGCTTCGGTGCAAGATCTTTTCCAGTTCATAAGCTCGGGCCCTCTCATAGACAAATTGGATCTTACTCCAGAAAAAATTGGAGAATCCATTGACAAATGGCTAATGTATGGTTCACAGCTCTGCAGACTGTTTCAGCTTAACGAGCTCCGTCTCACGGTTCCTCAGAAAGCCAGGATATACCATTACTATATACCCGTCTTTGTATGGTGCGAAAATCAGATTGCTCTGCACAATTCAAAGTTCGAAGATGGTGAAGATGTACCTCCACTAGTGGTACCGTTTCAAACTACTTATCTACTATATTGAAAGAAAAAAAAAAGAGTCGTTTGATTAGTGAATCAAGAGAGATGATCAATGCTTTTGAACTCTTGCAGATTGGTTTTAGCGCGCCACAAGGGTGTGGTAAGACGACGCTTGTGTTTGCTCTTGATTATCTTTTCAAAACTACCAGCAGGTATTTAGCTTCACACTGATTCACTTTTATGCGAGCAAAATTGTTCTTATAATGAGAAACCAATTAATGGATTTTGTTGCTGCGGTCTCAGGAAGTCGGCAACCATATCCATAGACGATTTCTACCTGACAGCAGAAGGCCAGGTGTTATAATGTGAAAAAAGCTACTCACTTTCTCGGTTTTTCTCTCTGTTTTCTGCTTATGTTGTTTTGACTGCCATTGTTGGTAGGCCAAACTGAGAGAAGCAAATCCGGGAAATGCACTGTTGGAGGTAATGTCACCTTCCATTTTTCAACCCTTTTGTCTCCCTTTATCTGGATCCTGACAAAGGGTTTTGCTTATTTGCTTCTTTCCAGTTCCGTGGAAATGCTGGTAGTCATGATCTTGAATTATCCGTGGAAACGCTAGAATCTCTGACTAAAATGACCAGAGAAGGTCGGTTTCATCAACAACGAGCTTTGTTTTCTGCTCTTTCTTTTCTTATTTACCGATTGAATTTTTTGAGCGTTGTAGGCATTAAGATGAAAGTGCCTCGGTATGATAAGGTGAGTCACAGCTTCTTCTCTGCTTTTCAACACTACTGAGGCGCAATTTAGTGTTTGGTTTCTTGATGTCTTTCTCTTTGGGGTGCAGTCTGCTTATAAGGGGAGGGGTGACCGAGCTGATGCTTCGACGTGGCCGGAAGTTTCAGGACCTTTAACGGTACTCTCTCATGTTTAAAGTTGATAACTGAGCTTTTATTTATATATTCTTCTTTTACTGAATTCTTTTCTGCCAGCCTCTTAGAGATTCGATAAGACTGTGAAAATCCTCCTTGTATATTGTTTTTGGTCAATTTCTCCACAGGTTATTCTCTTCGAGGGGTGGATGCTCGGTTTCAGACCACTTCCATCGGAAGTCGTTAAAGCAGTTGATCCTCAGGTCTTATGTAATTACAGCTTCTACACAATGGCAGTTCTTTATCCATCTGACCGACATCTTACATTGAACTTTCATTTGCTTTTGCAGTTGGAGACAGTGAATAAGAACCTCGAAGCTTATTACAACGCATGGGACAAGTATATCGATGCTTGGGTCATCATCAAGATTAAGGACCCGAGTTACGTCTACCAATGGCGGCTGCAGGTTTGTATATGGAGCAAACCAACAGCTTTTAGACTCATTTTCCAACCTCGGATTCATTCCTTGGTATCATAGACAAGAAGATAACCCACCTTTCAGTTTTCGGTAATCAAGCACGGTTTGTTTTGCTTGGCCAGGCTGAAATCGCTATGAGGCAGGCAGGGAATCCCGGGATGTCGGATGAAGAGGTACATATCCGTAAAGCATGTTCATTAAACTGTATTGTTTCTCGCCTTGTAGAAACTCGAAAACTCGAGAGAGAAAGAGAGATCATTGTTCAAGGAAACATATGCAGGTTAGGGACTTTGTTTCGAGGTACCTTCCTGCGTATAAAGCGTATCTCCCGACGCTCTATTCGGAAGGACCGAGCGGTT